TCTGCTAACTTTGGGTTTGGATTGTTCTTGTTTTTCTAGTTCCTTAAGATGAAGTGTTAGGTTGTTCACTTGCCATTTTTCTATTCTTCTGCAGTAAGCATTTAATGAGATAAATTTACCCCTTAGTACTGCTTTTGCAGTATCCCATAGGTTTTGGTATAATGTATCATTGTTTTCATTAGCTTCAAATTTTTTTGATTTCCTTTTTGATTTCTTCTTGGACCCATATGTCATTAAATAGAATGCTGTTTAATTCCCATGTGTTTATATAGTTTTCAGAATTTCATTTGTTATTGATTTCTAATTTTAATCCATTGTAGTCTGAAAAGATACATGGGATAATTCCAGTTGTTATGAATTTGTTGAGACTTGGTTTGTGGCCTAACGTGATCTATCCTGGAGAATGATCCATGTGCTGATGAGAAGAATGAATATTCTGAGGTTGTTGGATGGAATGTTCTGTAGATATCAGCCAAGTCCAGTTGGTCTAGAGTGTTGTTTAGATCTTGTGTTTCTCTGCTGATTCTTTGCCTAGATGATCTGTCCAATATTGACAGTGGGTGTTCAGGTCCCCTGCTATTACAGTATCAGTGTCTATTTCCTTCTTTAGGTCTAGTAGAGTTTGCTTGATAAATCTGGCTGCTCTGACATTGGATGCATATATATTTATGATTGTATGTCTTCTTGATGGATGAATCCTTTTATCATTATGTAGTGGCCCTCATTATCTCTTTTTGTGGTTTTTAGTTTAAAGTCTATTTTATCAGATATAAGAATAGCTACTCTAGCTTGTTTTTCATTTCTGTTTGCTTGGTAAAACTTTTTCCATCCTTTCACTCTTAGTCTATGTGAGTCTTTATAGGTGAGGTGGGTCTCTCAAAGGCAGCATATAGTTGGGTCCTCCTCTTTAATCCAGTCAGTCAGCCTGTGTCTTTTCATTGGGGGATTTAATCCTTTTACATTAGGAGTTGTTAATGAAAAGTGTTGATTTACTCCTAGCATTTTATTAATTTTTCCTGGGATGTCTTAAGTGTCATTTGTTCCTTTCTTTCAGATTTACTGTTTGTCCTCTCTATTTGTTGGTTTCTTGGTTAAACTCTTTTTTTTCTCTTCATTGTTGACATTTTTATTTTACTAATGGGTTTTGATTTTCTTGAGTTTTTATGGCAGTGGTAGTTATTTTTCAGGTACCAAACCCAGAACTTCCTTGAGAATTTCTTGTAGGGGTGTTCGTGTGGTAGTGAACTCCCACAGTTTTTGTTTGTCTGAGAAATATACTGTTTGCCCTTCATTTTGGAAGGATAGCCTTGCGGGGTACAGTATTCTTGGCTGGCAATCTCTGTCTTTTAGTATTTTGAATATATCATCCCCTTCCTTTCTGGCTTTTAGGGTTTGTGATGTAAAGTTTGATGTTAGTCTGATTTGGGCTCCCTTATAAGTGATTTGATGCTTCTCTCTTGCAGCTTTTAAGATTCTCTCTTTGTCTTTGAGTTTTGCCAACTTGAGTATAGCATGTCTTGGAGATGACCTTTTTGGATTGAATACAGTTGGGGATCTTTGAGCTTCCTGAATCTGAAGATCTGTGTCTTTCCCTATACCTGGGAAGTTTTCTGCCACTATTTTGTTGAATATGTTTTCAATGCAGTCTCCTTTTGCCTCCCCTTCTGGAATACCCATAACTCAGATATTTGAGCACTTAAGGTTGTCTGATATCTGTCTTTGATTTTCTTCAATTTTTTAAATTCTTTTTTCCTTTTTTTTTTGTCTGCCTGTGTTATTTCAAACAGCCCATGTTCAAGGTCAGAAGTTCTCCTACTTCTGCAAGACTGCTGGTAAAACTCTCTGTTGTGTTTTTTATTTTGTTGAATGAATTCTTCAGTTTGGCAAGCTTTGCTACATTCTTTTTCAGGGCATTGATTTCCTTGTCCATTTCGTCTTTCAGGTCCTGTATACTTTTCCTTATTTCATCATGTTGTCTATCTGAGTTCTTTTGTATCTCATTTAGTGTTTTTAGAGTTATCACTCAAAATTCCTTGTCAGACATTTCAAGGGCTTCTTGTTCTATGGGATCTAGAACTTGAGCGGTATTACCCTTTTGTGGTGTACTTTCCTGATTTTTCATATTTCTAGTATCTTTCCTTTGATGTTTAGTCATTGTGGCAAGGAATTTCATGGTCCAGTGTTTCAACACTATTATCTGGCTAGGATGCTACTGGGGCTGCCAATTTGGCCCAGCTGCCTCAGTGTCTGCTTGGTCACCTGCTGACTCCTTGGGCCTGTGGTCACCTCAGGTCTTGGGCTTCTCCCAGAGGCACCTCTCTGGTTGGCATGCACTCAGCCAGGCTGGGGATGGGGACGGGCGGTGGTGAGGCCTTCCTGTTAAGTTGCATGCTTGTGCCATGGGGCGCATGGTCTCCACAGGACTTGGGCCTCTCTAGGGAGGGTGCCTCTGTGGTTGGTGCACACTTGGCCAGGCTTGGGATGGGGGTCCCACTTTGAGGTACCATCTCACTCCAATTAGATTGGCTAACATCCAAAAGACTGAGAATGATAAGTGCTGGAGAGGTTGTGGAGAAAAAGGAACTCTCATACACTGTTGGTGGGCGCAAAATGGTGCAGCCTTTATGGAAAATGGTATGGAGGTTCCTCAAACAATTGCAGATAGATCTACCATATGACCCAGCTATCCCACTGCTGTGAATATACCCAGAGGAATGGAAATCATCACGTCGAAGGTATACCTGTTCCCCAGTGTTCATTGCAGCACTCTTTACAATAGCCAAGAGTTGGAACCAGCCCAAATGTCCATCATCGGATGAGTGGATATGGAAAATATGGTATATGTACACAATGGAATACTACTCAGCTATAAAAACGAATGAAATACTGCCGTTTGCAACAACATGGATGGACCTTGAGAGAATTATATTAAGTGAAACGAGTCAGGCACAGAAAGAGAAATACCACATGTTCTCACTTATTGGTTGGGAGCTAAAAATAAATAAATAAATTCACACACACACACACACACACACACACACACACACACACACCCCGGGGGTGGGGGAAGAAGACATAACAAATACAGTTCCTTGAAATAAATACGACAAGCAAACAGAAAGGACATTGTTGGGTGGGAAGGGGGAGAGGGAGGAGGGAGGGAGGTTTCGGTAATGGGCCACAATAATCAACCACATTATATATCGACAAAATAAAATTAAAAAAAAATAAAGTATATGGGGAGGATGTGTGAAGGTTACATGCAAATATTACAGCATTTTATGTAAAGGACTTCAGCATCCACAGAGTTTGGTATTTGCTGGGTGTCTTGGAACTAATCCTCTGTGGATACGAGGGATGACAGTACTTGTTCAGGAAAGCTACAGCTATTAACTCGTGCATTCATTACCAGGGTTATATAAAAGAGAAAAAGAAACATTGGCTTTTTGGTCACATTCTCATATTTGGTTCCTGATCTTAACTTTTTCATTTTAATTCACATTATGTATTCTTTATTAATCGTTAATTATATTTGTCTTTTATTAAAAAAATTTGTTTCCTTATTATTTTATAATTTTTCATTTTATTTTGTCATTTTACTGCTTACCATACCTTTGAATGTGTATGTTACTAAAATTAAATTAATGTTCTAAATGATTACTCTTTTATTTTTATTTAGACCTATTTCCTTCTATCTTTCTCTGAAAGTGACCTCTCCTTCATCTGATTTCCATAACTTTTACTGCTAGTTAGCTGATAATTAAGTTCCTTTGGTCTATCAAAAATAGATGTAGGTTGATAATCCTTTTCACAGAAGTCTAAATTCTTTTCCTGAACAAAGCAAATTTGCACTTTTAATTTACAACTTTTATTTTTTATCTCGTGCTGCCAATAAAAGGGCATACATCTCCAAGCCTAAGATTTCTATGAGGTCTCAATGAAGCACAAATGGTATCAGAATCAATTGTGGCTCAAAGAATCTTAGCAAGCTTTACTTTCCTCTGAATTTATGGAAATGGATCACAAAGCATCTTAATATGAATTCAAATGAGTAGATAAAAATGTTCATGTGACTTATATCTATCTCTACATAATTCAACTGGAGTTATCTTATAGAGGAGTCAGAGTCATAACAGTTTTTCACTTGGAGTGGCAGAAAAATAATTTTATGCATTATTGTCGTGCATTAGAAAATCAGAATTTACAGCACTGTAACAGGACATGAAATTTAAATTTGTGGTGCCAAGTATTTGACTCAGAGCCGTAAATTCCTGCTCCCAAATTCAGCTTATAGGACAAAATATAAGATTACATAAATGGTATTCAGTAAAGATAAACCTAAGAAGATTTCTAGTTCTGGGAATGTAATTGTGCTCTGCTTACAGAAAGGAGACTATAAATTCTGTATAATATATAGAAAGGCAGATGATTCTGTGGAGATTGTTACTACTCTAAAAGTAATCCATCACTGGGGAAATGGCTATAGTCAAGTAATAGGTTGTAAAAGGGGTACAGATAAAATTTAAGCAGACTTGGGGGCTGAGCCTGTGGCGCACTCGGGAGAGTGCAGCGCTCCCGCTGCGGGTTCGGATCCTATATAGGGATGACCGGTGTGCTCACAGCGCTCACTGGCTGAGCGCAGTGCAGCCAGTCTCAAAAAGGACAAAAAAAAAAAAAAAAAAAAAAAAAAATTAAGCAGACTTGGGATATGAACTTGAAGACATTTTCCTGATTTGAAGGGTCCAGCATATTTACCTCAATTCTATCCACATTTTTCTTTCTTCAAAATTTTCTAGCATCTTGACATCACATGGCATTTAGTATTCGGTCTGTCTCTCTCTCCTTAATGTGTCATTTATTCCACTTCTCTGACTCTAACAGCTGTTATAATACCAGAAGAGAATGTAGAGTAGAGTTTCTCTTTAGGGAGGAACCTGCTTCAATGTATCATGTCCCTCTCTTTTCCAGGACCTCATCCTAAATTACATTTCTTATTGTAGCCCTGTTTCTGATACCAAGACAACCATGCAAGGAATGGAACAGACCACACCAGTGCCTGGCCCTAGTGTGCCCCAGCTGGGGCAGACTGCTGTGCTAAAATCATATTTGTGGAAAGGGCTGCAGGAGAAGTTCTTAAGGGGAGAACCCAAAGTCCTCGGGGTAAGTCAGTTGTGAATCTGGAAGATCAATGGTGTTGTATACTCATAACTGATTAGATCTAATGCCAAATACTTCATCCCACTAGCCTCATAGTACATCAACTAGCCCCGGGAATTTCAGTATTTGATTTTCAGGCCCTACCATTTGAAAAACGAGAAAATATTCTACCACATCATGTTTCCAATTTAGTTGTATTTAAAATATAATGACTTCAGATTTGTTCTGCGGTTGAGGTCATCCACATAACTATATTTAACCTCATCATGGAAGAGCAGGAAAAGAAAAGGCCATTTACTAGGTGGTGTCCCGTCCACAGGCCTTCCTGGTAGCTGATGGACCCATATTGTTATATCTCTATTTCTTTGGTACCTTTTCTTAGCCCGCTCCTTAGAAGACAAAAAACCTTCTACCCTAGGGTCTCAGGTGGGTGTGCCTAAAAGAAATAGAGTTTAAAGGACCACAGGTTAGGGTAGGCAAAGGGGCATTGAATATAGAGATTTTTCTCCAACCCAAGCTCCAAACCTGGGAAAAAAGTTATTGTGGACCCTTTGGATCCTTTTATCTGCTATTCTATTATTTTTTAATTTTAGAGAATACAGTATTTTTTCACAAAATATGTTGTTTATGTTGACACACACTAGGTTTATTTTTTAAACGTGTTAATAAATATTTTAAAATAGACTTTACATTTTAGAGCAGTTTTAGGTACACAGAAAAATTGAGAAGGAAGTATAAATATATCCTATATATATTCTGCCTCCATTCACGCACAGCTTCCACATTATCAACCTCTCCCACCAAAGTGGTGCATATGTAACAATTGATAAACCTAAATGGACACATCACGATCACTTAGAGTCCATAATTTGCATTAGGGTTCACCCTTTGTGTGGTACATTCTATGGGCTTGGACAGGTATAAAATGACATGCATCCACCATCATAGTATCATATAAAGTAGTTCTCCCATCCTAAAAATCTTTGCTTCACCTGTTTGTCCTTTCCCCCCCATAACTCCTGGCAACCACTGATCTTTTTACTGTCTCCATATTTTGCCTTTTCTAGAAAGTCATAGAGTTGGAATTATACAACTTTAAAAGGCTTTTTAGATTGGCTTTTTTTCATTTAACAATATGCATTTAAGTTTTTTCCATTTTTTTATGGTTTTATAGCTCATTTAATTTTAGCAATGAATAATATTTTATTGTCTGGATATATCACAGTTTATCTATGGACTCACCTGCTGAAAGACATCTTGGTTATTTCCATACTTGGCAGTTATGAATAAAGCTGCTATAAACATGTGTGCAGGTTTTTTTGTGGATATAAGTTTTCTACTCCTATGGATAAGTGTGGTAAGAGCATATAAGAGCATGTTTAGTTTTATAAGCAGCTGCCAAACTGTCTTCCAAGTGATCGTGCCATTTTGAACATTTTGAACCAGCAGTGAATGGAAGTTCCTGATGCTCCACATCCTTGCCAACATTTGCTGCTGTCAGTGCTCTGGATTTTGATTATTCTAATAGGCGTATAGTGAAATCTCACTCTCATTTTAATTTCTCTAATGACATATGATGTGGAGCATCTTTTCACATGCTTCTTTGCCATTTCTATATCATCTTTGGTGGGGTGTATTTTAAAATCTTTGGCCTGTTTTTTAATCAGGATATTTGTGTTCTTATTGTTGAATTTTAAGAGGTTTTGTTTTTTGTATGCTTTGCATAACAGTCCTTTGTCAGATATGTCTTTTGCAAACATTTCGTACCAATCTGTGGATTGTTTTTTCAACTCTTGACAGTGTCTTTTGCAGAGCAGAAATTTTCAATTTCAATGAAATCCAGCTTATCAATTCTTTCTTTTTTTTTTTTTTTTTTTTTTTTTTTTTGTCTTTTTCCGTGTCCGGCAACGGATCGCAACCCTCAGTGTTGCCCCCGTACCGGACCGGGGACCGGCAACGGGATTGCAACCCTCGGTGCTGCTCCCGCGCCTCGCTCAGCCAGTGAGCGGGAACCGGTCTGCATGTGGGATCTGAACCCTCGGGCGGGAGCGCCGCCGTGCTTCCCAAGCGGCGCACTTATCCAGTGCACCACCGGGCCGGCCCCTTATCAATTCTTTCTTTCGTGGATGTTGCCTATGGTATTGTATCAAAAAAGTCACCACCAAATACAAGGTCATCTAGATTTTGACCTTTGTTATCCTTAGGAGTTTTATTTTTTATTTTTATTATTTAAAAAAATTTCTCTTTTATGGTCTTTTATTTTATCAATCAACATTAGTAGCTTTTTATTTCTGGGGGGCTAGCCAGTACAGGGATCCAAACCCTTGACCATGGTGTGACAAGGCTGCAGTCTAATCAACTGAGCTAACTGGACAGTCCTCCGCTAGGAGTTTTATAGTTTTGAGTTTTACTTTTAGTTCTATGATTCATTTTGAGTTAATTTTTCTGAAGGGTGTAAGGACTGAGTCTAGATTCAATTTTTTGCTTGTGGGTGTCCAGGTTTTCCAGAACCATTTGTTGAAAAGACTATCTTATCTTCATTGTATTACCTTTGCTTTTTTGTAAAAATCAATTGACTATATTTATGTGTGTCTACTTTTGGGATCTTTATTCTATTTCATTTATTTGTCTATTTTTTTTTTTTTTTTTTGCCAGTATTACAGTGTCTTGGTTTCTATAGTTTTGTTCTTCGTCAATATTGTGTTTCATGCTCTGGTTCTTTTACCTCTCCCTATAAACTTTAGAATCAGTTTGTCAATATCCACAAAATAACTAGTTAGGATTTTGATTGAGATTGCACTGAATCTATAGATTAAGTTGGGAAGAACTGAAATCTTGACAATATTGAGTCTTCCCATTCATGGACATGGAATACCTTTCTATTTTGGTTCTTTCATTTCTTTCATCAGAGTTTTGGATTTTTCCTAATATAGATTTTGTACAAATTTTGTTAGATTTATACCTAACAAATACCAAATACTGATACCTAAGTAGTTCATTTTTTAGGGGTTCTAATTTGAATGATATTTTGTTTTTAATTTCAAATTCCACTCATTCATTTCAGGAAAAAAGGGAAGTAATAGACTCTTGTGTATTAACCTTGTTTCCTAAACCCTGCTGTAATCGCTTATTAGTTCCAGGAGATTTTGGTCATTTATTTCAGATTTTCTAACTAGATGATCGTGTCAAAGGCAGTTTTATTTCTTTTTTATTAATATGTATCTTTAATTTCCTTTTTTTGTCAAGGATTTACACTACAGTGTTGAAAAGGAGTGGTGAGAGGGAACATGCTTGCTTTGTTCCTGATCTTAGTGGGAAAACTTTGAGTTTCTCTCTCTTAAATATAAAGTTAATTGTAGGTTTTTTGTAGATATTCTTCAAGTTAAAGAAGTCTCCCTTTATTCCTAGTTTACTGAGTGTTTTTATAAATAATAGGTGTTAGATTTTGTTTGATTGTTTTTTCTGCATTTATCAATATTGATCTTATTATTATTATTATTATTACATTCTGAGATTTTGCGGAGAGGTGGGAGGGGTATGGGGGGGCTAGGGGCCTGTGGCTGACTCTTTCACTGGTCTGGATCCTGATGGCAGGGGTGGGCATAGCTGAAGCCCACAGGGGGACTCCCTCATCGCTCAGGAGCCCTGGGGCTTCCAGTGGTGGCTCCGGGCTACCATCATCATTGCTGCCCTCTGATATTATCACGTAAATTTTTTTTCTTTAGACTGTTGAAGTGATGGATTACATTAATTGACTTTTAAATGTTGAACTAGCCTTGCAACCCTGGGATAAATCGCACTTAGTCATGGTTTATAATTTGTTTTATACATTGTTGAATTTAATTTGCTAATATTTTGTGGAGGCTTTTTTCATTTATGTTCATGGTCTATAGTTTTCGTTTTGGGGGGTAATGTCTTTGTCAGGATTTGGTATTAAGGCAGTGCTAGCCTCATAGAATGTGTTAAGAGTATATCCTTTGTTATCTTCTGAAAGAGATTGTAGTGAAATGGTACAATTTATTCTTTAAACGTTTGTTGGAATTCACCACTGAATTTTTCTGGGCCCAGTACTTTCTGGTTTGGAAAGTTATTATTAATTCAATTTATTTAATGATATAGGCCTATTCAGATAGTGTATTTCTTCTTGTGTGAGTTTTGGCAGATGTGTCTTAAGGAGTGATCCATTTCATCTAAGTTATAAAATTTGGGGGCATAGAGTTTTTCATAGTTTTTCGTTAGTATCCTTTTCATGTCTATAAGACACAGCTTTGAGTTTTATTGATTTCGTCTATTGATTTCCTGTTTTTAATTTTGTTAATTTCTGCTCTGATTTTTATTATTATTTTTTTCTGCTTACTTTGGACTTAATTTGCTCTTCTTTTTCTGGTTTCCTAAGAGGGAGGCTTAGGTGACTCATTTTAGACTTTTCTTCTTTTCTAGTACTTGCATTCAATGCTATAAATTTCATTCTAAGCACTGCTTGTGCTGCATCCCACAAATTTAGAAGTTGTTTTCTTTTCTTTATATCCTTTTTAATACCATGAGTTAATTATATCTCAACTTTCCTATTATTAGACCCCTGTACTCACATTCACACCCTTATGACCAAGACCCCAAGGTAATGTCATTTTTGCTCTCTTTTTCTTCCCCTGTGTATCGTCTCTTCCCTTCAGGTTACTTCTCCTTGCTAGAATAATTATTTATTAATTCCCGATCACTTCTGTTTGAGCACGTAATGAAGGAGAGCAATAGTTGTGGTAGAAGTAGCGTCATAGGTATCAAAAAAGCATCTCTGGGCAGGTTCTGTCTTACTCCTTTTAACGTGAAATTATTGAAATGATGGTATATATCCTGAGAGATAATTTTGGTAGTTCTTTATGTCAGAAAAAAATGACAAGAGAACATCAAGAAGATCCTCTGACTGTATCAAAAGGTGAAGAATAAGGGTAACTTAGTGATTAGAGAAAGGGGGCCATGGGCGCCATTTTTGTGGTGAATAATCAGCTTTCCCTGTTTTCCTTATTTCTAGGTTGTGCAGATTCTGATTGCCCTGATAAACCTCAGCTTTGGAATAATAATGATGAGTGTCTTGTTGCCAGTTTACAGACCACATCCCATATCAGTGTTCCTTGGATTTACAGTTTGGGGGTCAGTGATGGTGAGTAGAATACTTTCTGATATAATTGGGGATAATATCACATAGTTGTTAATGTACTGATCTTTGAGATCCCATCCTAACTCTGTCTTATAGTTTTATAAATTTGAGAAAGGTAGGTCTTTAACCTTCATTTGACTCAGTTTTCTCATATTTAAAGTGGTAATACTATAAAAGTCATAGAAAGCTAGGCAGATTAAATATTCAATATCACAGCAGCATGTACACAAACATCCAAACCAGAATGGCTTAAACATTGAAATATTGATTATTTCACAACAAGCTCAGTCAGTAGTTATTTCCAGGTTTGGCTAATTCAGTAGTGCAAGAATCTAGTGGAGGACTTCTGGCAGACCATGCCAGCTTTATTGACATGTCACCATCCATAAATGTTTGCAAATTCTTAAACCAACTATGGGTAAGGGTAATGGAGTTGCCATTAGTGGCTCGGATCAATCTCTATTCACCTCTGTGCCTGGGAATAGTTCATTTTTCCCTGAAGCTCATTGGAGACTGAAAAAATGAGGGTTTTCTGAGCAAGGAAGAAGAGGATACATGGCAGGTACACAGGCAATTTATATTTTCTCACCTATCAACTACCAAATCTTAGTAAATTATTATCTAAAAAAATTAGAAAATCTAATTGCTATTTGATAAATTTTGTTTCATAATTTAATAAAATAAATATAATGAAACTTAAATTAAATTTATAATTAAAATTTAAGAAAGTTTCAAAGTCTTTCCCCAGGACAAAACACAAGGGATTTTTATACAAACTCAGAGCCTACATTGACTATAAAATACCAAGTTTTATCTACTTTCAAGAAGAAAATAAAACTTATAAAGTAGGTTTATGTTAGAATCAGGGAACCTATTCAAGTGTTGTGGGGTTTCCAATTATCAATAAAGTTAAGAATGAGATAGTTTAGAGTTTTATCGTGTAGCTGAATTTTTGCACTCCCTCACCTGTTTAGAGCAGAAGTGCAAGATTTGATGAACAGCAAGTACTGATATACTTCTGGGAAGTTGAACAACAACTTATGTATCTAATAATATTAATGCCAGGAATAGCTTTTATTAAGCTCTTCTTATGATCTGGGCACTGTACTGAGTACTTTGCATGTGCAATTCCTTTTCAAAGAATCAACACAACCTTTTGAGGGAGAGTTTAGCATCGTGTTCATTTTGTAGATGAAGATATTGGAACTTGGAGAGCTTAAGTAACTTGTCCAAGATCTATTTGGTACAGGAATCAGGGCTCAAATAGAGCAAGCCTATTTCTAGAATGGCCTGTATGTAACCACTCTAATTTTCTGCTTCCCTTTTTAATTTCCTTTTCAAAACCAAATTGGAAACAGGCTTACTAAGCTTAAGACTTCTACACATGTTCAATAGATTATCAGGAACTACAGGAGCTGTGTTAGTCAGTTGAAGTATCACTCAGACTATTGTAGGTATGCCACCTGATGAGCCTTTGATTAATTAATGGAACATTTTTTTTGCTGCTCCCTTCTATTATCCTTTCGACCTTATTTTCAAACCTCACTTGTATAGTGCCTCCTTTTTCTCCTTTATGTAGTACAAATTCCAATATTAAGAATTAATGACAAATTTCCCTAATTTTGGGCGTTTTTATTCTCCAGTACAACTTAAGACTTTTAGTAGAATCCCATAAAATTATTCCCACATTAGTCTATTTGTTCAAGTTTTCTTTTTTAAACATATCATTGCATGGAATTAATTACATTCACAGTGCTGCATAACCACTTCCTCCATCTATTTCCAAACTTTTGTGTCATCCTAAACCTAAGCTCTATATCTGTTCAGCAATAACTTCTCATTATTCCTTCCTCCCAGTTTCTGGTAATCTCTAATATACTTCCGTCTCTGAATTTTTTTTTCTCTTTTTAATTTATTTTTTCTTAATTAACCCATGATAATTGCATATGTTTATGGAGTACAGTGTGATATTGAGGTACATTTATACAGCGTGAAATGCTCATATCGGGGTGTTTAGTATATCCACTACCTCAAACATTTGTCACCTCTTTGTGTTGAGACCATTAAACATCCTCTCTACTATTTGAAGTTATACCATAATTTGTTGTTGCTGCGGCCTCTCTATTTTGCTATAGAACCCTAGGTTTTATTCTTCCCCTCTGTACAATATTGTACCTGATGATTCTCCTCTCTCCAACCACCACTCCCCACTTACCTTACACACTCCTTGTTAAGTTTATTTTCCTGAGATACTTCATATGTATTTTTTCTATGGTAAATAAGGTTCTCTAATTTAATCCTCTTAAAACACAGACACACACTTATTTTATATAAGTATTTTATATATATGTTTTCTGTATGTAATACTTTTGCCATGTGCTTTACTGAAATTTTAATAGTTTATACTAGTTTTCAGTTGATATTCTTAGATGTTCACAATATAACATGTTTATATTTAAATAGCAGTAATTAACCATTTGTTTCAAATATTGTTTATATAGTTATTTTGGTTAATATACCCAGAATTATATTACATAGTAGTCTATATTCTTATCTTTGTTTTGACTTTAATGAGATAACTCGAGTGTTTCCTCATCAAACATGATAAAAACTTTTAGACCAAGACAGGTGTTTACTCATGTTATGGAAAATCCAATTCTTTATATTTTGTCAATAATGTGTAAGTCAATGATAATGTTGAATTATATTGAATGTCTTAACATTGTAAACAAGAATAGTAATTAGCATGTGATTTTCTCCTTAATTTTATTAATTATAATAATATTTCAATATCAAAAATATTATTAATATTAATATCATAAAATTATTGAAAATATTATTAATATCAATAATATTAATTATTAAAAACACTATCAATATCAATAGTATTATAAAATTATTAAAAATACTATCAATATCAATATTATAAAATTATTAAAAATATTATTAATATCAATAATATTATAAAATTATTAAAGTATTAATAATATTATAAAATTATTTTAAAATATTGTTAATATTATAAAATTATTAATAATAATATAATATTAATTACAATAATATTTCAATATTAAAAATATCTGTATATTTGAAGGACCATCCCACATATTCATGATTTATTTCATATAATATGATGGATGATTCTCTCTGCTATTTTTTCCGAGAGGTGAATCACCTCTCGGATAAAAAAATCACAATTCATGATTTTACATGAATCATCCCCATGTCTTGGTATTTAGAAATTTGTTGAAGAAATTTATCAACGTATTTAATTAGTTCAGTTTTTTGGGTATTGTTATAACTTTTGAAAATTCTGAAATCAAATTTAGAAAGCAAACTAAGAAATGTGAATAGTCAAAGAGTATAAGGCAGAGATTTTGACCAACTTGACTCTAGCCATTTTAGCTAAGTTGAAAATAATTACCTAATTGATGGAATTAAATGTATTACTATATTCTAGTCATCATCTAATAAGGAATTAAAAATTTTTACTTGCTACTATTTTATTTACAACTTTTAATAGACATTTTAGATGAGAATAGTTTTTGGTTTCTTTTCTGTTTGATTATTTTACTCAATTTTGGTACGATATTGAGATTACTTTATACCAGGGATTCATAAGCTTTATATTTAAATGCTCTCAAAAAGTTTTAATACCATTGCAACTAAATGTTTTTCGAAAAGCTTGGTAAATTCTTCCATGGATCTATCTGGTAGAATTTCTCTGTTCTTTCTGGGAAAAGAGAAAATTATTTCCAAACTTTTGTATTTCTTCTATGATAATTGGTCTTCTTAACCTCTCTATCTTAATAGAGTAAGTGCTAGTAAATTATGATTTTTGACGTTTGTTAAAGATCTTTCACCTGAATTTTTCCTCTTATTTCTAGTTTATTATTTCAGGGTCCTTGTCAATTGCAGCAGGCATGAGAACAACAAAAGGTCTGGTGAGTAATATATCTTTTTAATTTTTATTTTTTGACATCAAAAGAGGAAGCATTTAATCAAATAGGCATTGTGAAAGAAAATAAAATGTTTTTTCTCTTTGTTTTTTAAAAATAAGTAGAGATTGTGAGTTTTACCTAATTGGATCTGTCTTGCAAAAATTATAACAGACAATTGGCTGATGATAGAATTACTGTCATGGGACTGAATTTTTTGACAAGGTAGTTGCTGAGTGAATCTTATAAAGATACAGAGGATTTTTGAGATCAGTCAAACAAGCCCTGAAGCTTGAGATCCAGCTGATGAGAACAGTGGCACCAAGTATTTTTCACACATAATATTTATTGACTGATGATTAAAATATGTATTTCAACTGTATGCAAAAAGTGTTTAGAGTTTTCAATAAAAGAAATTTGCAATAAAGCTATTACATAAGAAAAAGCAAATTTAAAACATAACGCTCATTCCAATATGTCTTTCATAAGTCATGGAGAAACAAAAGTCCAGATCTCAATGAATGTTTTTCTTGTCTAAGGACCAGATTTGAGTTTTCTTTGCTCAAAAGAAAAATATTAAACTTTGGAGTACAATCAATATGGCCTTTCCAAATCTGGCTTCAACCTGCCTCCTTAGCATCTCCTCCAGCTACAACTATTAAAATGTACCTCATGCTATAGCCACACTAAATCTTTGGCACATTCCTGAGCAATTTTAGTTCTTATAAAAAGTCTTCATACTTTCACTCACGAGAAGAAAATGTGCAGAAAGGAATACTCAGCAGAGACGGAAAATATGCAAAAGGCATAGAGACATTGGAGACAAGCAACATTTAGGAAATGATGGGAGGTCAGGCACTTGAAGCGGGGCATGGTAGGAAATGGACACAGATGGGGCTGTCCAGGTAACGTGTAAAGGACCTTGAAAGCCCTGCTTAGGAGATTTGGAGTTTGCCTAGTGTGCTGACAAAATTCATATGAAGATTTAAGCCTGGGAATAACATGATCATTTTTGTGTTTTAGAAAGAGATTAGAATTGAAACTACTATTTAAAAAAAAGTTAGGAGAATATTGAAATAACCAAGATAGGGAAGATGGAATGTGATGAGAAAGAAGTGAAGGGCCTAAAGTGTTGGATGGAGATATATCTGAGGATGTTGTTGGATTGTCAATTGGATTTCCTTCCTTTCTAGGTCCGAGGTAGCCTAGGATTGAACATCACCAGCTCCGTGTTGACTGTAGCAGGGATTATAATCAGCGCAATAAGCTTGAGTATGTTTTCTTACTCTTACTATGGATGTAGCTATAGCAAGAATTTGGATGATTGCTCCATGGCCACATCAATTTTAATGGTGAGTTCTTTCTGTTTTCATGGGTTACTGTGGTGGAAGAAAGTCTGAGGAGCACTGGCTCTGGCAAAAGCAACAATCAACATTCTCTAACTCCTGAATCACTTTGGAAGTTGGAATTGATTGAGAAGTAGAACGGACTTTCATTTAGGAGTCTGGTCCACATCTCATCTCTCTCTTTGTTCCTCTTCTACATGTGATGAGGCAAGGTGAGAAGAGAGTTCATAGTTACAGAACACCTCCTCCCTAATAGTTACTATGCTGGCATCTTGCATAATTTTTCCTGTTGAATTTTTAAACACCAATCAGTATGACTGTTATCCCCTCTAAAAATGGAGCCCAGATTCAGTCTCTACATGCCCCTAGGGCTTCCTGATTGAGCTTTATGAAATTGCATGGTTCTCTAATAATAAAGTGAAATTGTCTTGAACATTATCCTACAAGTAGTGAGTCACCCCATACCCCCCCCAACACCTTTGAATGTTCTTGCAAAGTTAACCTCTTTTACTCTCAATATCTAGCTGCAAATTCTCAATCTCCATTTAGTATTTTACTACTTTTCTGTACCACTTGCCCTCATCTAGATGCTATATTAATTGCTTTATTCTGAAAATTACCACTTACACATGGTTTGTAGGTACTAAAACTTCTTGAAGTTTTGGGCCGCTGGGTAAGTGCAGAAAGGAAGAATTGTTGCAACACATCATAGCAGAGTAAAATGCAAAATTAATTACTTACTATTTAAAAGTCTATTGGTCATTCTCAACACCACCACATTTTCTGTTTTTTTCCCTTCATATGAGCTTCCCGCTTCTCACCATCCTACTAAGTTCTTTCCTTCATGGCCTCCTTCCCTAACCTAAATGTGGAAACTCAACAGTCTCACCATCTTATTATACAGAATCAAATGCATTGTCTTTACCTCATTCATAACTAATCTTACATAAGTCTTGAAGGCGGTATGTTCACACCACAATAACTCCTTGTGATGTCTTTGCTAAACCCTTAAGATTTCTAACAGTTTTTATAGTAAGCAATTTTATTTCTTGCCACTCACTCAAAGTAAGAAAAGAAAGCTTCTCACAGAACTTGACAAATTTTTCCAAGGCCACTTATTTAGAAGTTGGCAAAAGAAAGCTCTGACTCTGGAACTTCCTTCCTTTAACCCCCCCCCCCAAACTATTTACTATTGTGCTATGCAGTTAACCTGAAGAAGAACATTAATTTCAGTTTCTGAAGATCTCTCCACTCATAGATTTTTTTTCATGATATGCTATACCACATTCAACAATCAGTAACTATGTGACTTTTTAAATAGAAAGACTTAATTAATTAATTAATTAATTTTTATTGAAGCACAGACTTTAATGGCACAATAATAGAAACAAAATCTGGATTGACTGGTTTCCTAAGGCTGTTTTCATGAGCATGGGACCTATGTAGTTACTCAGGACTTCATAGTTAGAAGAGCTCTGCACTGGGTTTAATGCCCTGCTGTTGCTGTCCTAAAATTCTTAACTTTAATTTTTTCACAAGAGAACCTATAAATTATGTAGCTGGTTCTGCATTTATCTCAACCACTTTCCCCCAAAGGCCATTATGAATTGCTATTAATTATGTGAACATTTTTCCTGCCTGTCCGTATAGCAGAGAACTTCAATAAGGGCTTCCTGGGATCCGAAGCATCAAGTCTGTTTTTACCTGGGCACCTATAGTGTCAGTCCACAGGCTTCTGAGTCTCTTTTATAATCAGTACTACGGCTGGCACTCAGGAAGACATAACAAGGAGAACAGCTCCCTACCATCAAGAAGCTCCAGTCCTCTTGGGAGAAAAAGATAAAAACAATGGAAAACATATAACTCTAAAAAGAGGTTTAGAAAAAAGTTAAGCTCTTTGTAGAAAAGAGTAATTAGAGAGCATACTACCTGCAACTAGGCAGAACTATATGAAATTGCCAATGGTCAAGTACACTTGAGCTGGAAAGATAGTGGTTTAATATGGCTCAAACTAATATATGTATATCTAATACACATACATATTAGTATATTTACATATTCATATATGTACATACACACACAAATACATATATACATATATATATATACATATACAGATGCATACACACACAGGTGTTTGCTTTTTGTTGGAAGCCCAGCTGTTTTTGTAAATAAAGCTTTATTGAAATATAGCTTTGCCCATTTATTTACTTATTGTGTATAGTTGTTTTTGTGTTATAACTGCAGAGCTGAGTATTTGTGACAGAGAATTTATGGTCTACAAAACCTAAAATATATGCTATCTGACCTCTTACAGATAGTAAATCCTTGAGGATAGGAAATTGCCTGTTTGAGCCTGCAACAGTGCCTGAAACAGAGTCTACTGAACCTGTTGAAGGCATGAGAAATAAAGAAACAATGAATGCAAATATTCTCAAGGTCCACTTGAGTTTGTGTCACTCATGTCTGGGACTCCTGATCTATTTGCTCTTCCACAGCAGAGGGACTATCCCTATTCATGGAAAGAAAAAGACAAAATATTCAAACCAAAAAATCCCAGCAATCAATCCAGGGTAAAATTATTAGGAACAAGAACACTGCCCAATGTTCCTCAAATTCAGCCTTATGTGTTGGCTGAAAACTAGACCTAAAATCAGTTCTCTTGAGGGATGGATTAAAGAGGGACTAACTTGTTATTTATTGTTGCATCAGTTTCTTAATGTTTTAACAAATTACTACAAGTTTAGCAGCCTAAGACAATACGAATTGATTGTAGTTTTGGAGGTCAGAAGTTTAAAATGGGTCTCAGTAGGCTAAAATCAGAGTGTTGTCAGGGCTGCATTTCTTTCTGGGTGCTCAAGGGAGTAAATCAGTTTTCTTGCCTTTTCTGGCTTCTAGAAGCTTCCTACAATCCTTGGGTTTTCACTGCATCCTCTGTCTTTGAATTAAGCAGGTGCAGCATCTTCAAATCTCTCTTGGACTTTGCCTCTTCTGCCTTCTGCTTCCACTTATAAGGATTCTGTCATTGCTTTGGACCCACCTGAACAATTCAGGATAATACCCCACCTCAGCTAATATTCAACCTTAATTCCATCTGCAAATTTAATTCCCCTTTGCTGTGTAACCGACATATTCACAGATTCAAGGGATTAAGATGTGAACTTCCTTAGGTGATGATTATTCTGCGTACAATCACTAAGATATGGGATGATATTATTGTGTCAGCTATATGGAATTTATGGTGCTTGAAAAGACTAAGGTGATAAATCCCTTTCCTCATTTTTAAAGCACTCTCACATTCTGTGCTCACAATAGCAATAAAAAGTAATGAGCCAAGGAAAAAAATCTGTGATTATTTTATCAGTAAAAAAAATGAGAAGTTAAGTGGCATCCAGCAAACCGAGAATTGGACAAGTGTTTTGCTGCAATTAGAAGCTAGTTTTCTTGACTCTTTGCCAGTGATCTTCCTCCTTTGGCATTATAATTAGTGGTAAATGTTTGGAACATGTCATTTCTATTCCTCTCTATATTGCTTTTTCTCAGGGTCTGGAGGCTATGGTGCTCATTTTAAGTGTGCTGGAGTTCTGCATTGCTGTGTCTCTCTCTGCCTTTGGATGTAAAGCAACCTGTTGTAACCCTGGTGGGGTGAGTATTGGGCTTCCCTTTAAGATGTCTGTATTAGTTTTATGTTGCTGTGTAATCAATTACAGAAATTTAAAGCTTTAAAACAACACAAGTTTATTATCTGTCTGTTTCCATGGGTCCAGAATCTGGGCACATCTTAGCTGGGACCTCTGTTCAGGGTCTTACAATCCTGTAATTAAGAAGTTAGCTAGGGGCCGGCTCCATGGCTCACTCGGGAGAGTGCGGCGCTGGTAGTGCCGAGGCTGTGGGTTCGGATCCTGTATGGGGATGGCTGGTGCGCTTACTGGCTGAGCGTGGTGCAGACAACACTGTGCTGAGGGTTGCGATCCCCTTACTGGTCCAAAATAAAAGAAAGAAGTTGGTTAGGATTGTGGTGTCATCTGAACTTCTGGTTCTCTTCCATGCTCATGTGGGAGAACTCATATCCTCTCAGCTTTAAAATTCATGACAATGTACTTCCTCTTTGAAATCAGCAGGAGAGTAAAAGTCTCTGAGGCTTTCAGGCCCTTATAAAGGGTTGGCACGATTAGGTTAGGTCCATTCAGAATAATGCCCTTTTTGATAAACTCAAAGTCAACTTATCAGTACCTACTCATAGGAGTGATATTCCATCATATGCACAGGTCCCACCTTCACTTAAGGGGAAAGCAGCACAAAAGGGTAGGTCATTGAGTGTCATCTTAGATTCCTGCCTACCACAATGGCTAAAGATAAGCTGTTATCCCCATCTTTACTCTCTCAAAGGGTATGTCCTTCGAGTCCAGATCAGAGGATACTTCACAAGGGAGAGGTCCTCAAAAAGTGTCAGATTTCACTCCATTATTCTATCACAGCAAGCTTTCTTGGCCTATTAAGAAACATCAGGCCTGCAAACTTTTCTCTCAGTTTGTGCACACCTGCCCATTCTCTTACCCTGAGGCCTGCAGCAGATCCTCCTGGGTGCTAAGCAGAAAGAATGGCAGGAAGAGAAAGAAAAGAGAAATGGGAGGAGAGAAGAGACCAAGAAACAGGCCCTGGGAACAATAGGGTGGGGATGTCCTCCAAAATAATATGATGCGATTGTGTTTCTGGTACTCTTCTTCACCCTTTTGTAGTGTTTTACCTTCTTTGGGGCCTCCCAGGCAACACTGGATCCCACACTGCCACAGCCCTTTCCCACAGTGGAAAGAACTAAATCACATTAACTCTGGTAGTGGGATTTTGTATTATGAGACCCTAGAAGTGAAGGTTTCTCAGTGATTATCAGTAATTTTATAATTTCATTTAGTGGAGCATTTGGGCATGGGGTAAAACTGCTTAGTGATCTTCAGATGGTAATATTTAGGCCTCCTCTTCTGGTCCTAATGTAGTTATACAGATAGAGCTGGGAAATGTTGCTTTCGCTAGTTTTGTGGTGTGAGTCCAGAAGAGCAGTGGCTTTGGGGCATAGAATACCTAAGTCTCCATCTTCTTCTGGTTCCCCACTGCCCCTAACCAATCCCATGTCACACTGAGTTTGTGGAAGAATTGCCACAATTTTTCTTAGTTTCGTGATAATTCCTGCCATTGTGGGCCAGTGTGGCTTTTGCAGTGCTTTATTCATAGCCAGCAAATCATAGTATGCTGTTGTCATTAGGAGCAGCAACCTAGTTTGGAAGAAAAGCTCTGTATTTTCCATGACACCTGGGTTCACCCAACTTGTTGAGCGTCGTCATCCACACATAAGATTGATCCACTTGCAAGACCTAGTAACAGCCATGAGCATCTCAGGCCAAGAGCTATCACTGAATGTGTGTCTTAGATCTAGCCTCATCTAAACAATGCCTGAGAAGTCCTACAAGATTAATTTTGAGACTGAACTCAAAGAAGAAAGAGTAACCTCTAATAATGATGACATTATGTGGGCAGGAAAGGGAAATCCTGAGGTTATTTGGGTGTCTCATTTTGGCATTCTGATTGATTTCACAGGTTGTGTTAATTTTACCATCAAATCCTCACACGGCAGAAACAGCATCTCCTGCACCATTTAAAGGAGGTTTAATGCCACCATCAAATCAACAGAAAAATGTTCCAGAAAATCTATACTGACTTCTTTGCAAGCAGCCCACATGGGAAAGTACCAGAATCTAACTCTGATATATATATCCAATTTACTTCAAAATCATGTTCTCATTTTTTTTTCCAAGAACTCAACAATTTATTTTACTGGCTCTTTATCACAGCATTAGAAGTTAAATAAATAAGTTATACATTTAATTGGTCAACAGCACTTGAAAATTTTTCACCTATCTTTGGGACTTTATAAAAGGGCGTTAAATTGGTAAATAAGATTTGGCAGTAAAAGGTCAAAAAATATTGCTGAAATGAGGCCTCCATGCAGACTACATGTTTCTGCTCCTCTGCTAATATTCCTCCCACTTGTGTGAGGAACCTTAGGGGACACAAAGTGCTTTTGCCTTCAGGAAGTTGGGATACATGACTCCCCCCCATCTTTTCTTCTCCTGTTTTCCTTCTCCCACAGAAAGTACCTTGGAATAGCACAGGCAGTCCTTGTATGTGCTCAAACCATTATTTGATTTGAAGTACACATGGAATAAAATCATATCACGGATCATATTCAACTTATATTCTCTCTCTCTCTCTTCCCCCCCCTTTACCTCCTAATGGGCACAATTATGTCTTAATCAAGTGTGTATCCAGTGCCATATATGAGATCACACAATACATGGTATTTACTGAACGTTCATTAAATACATTTGCTTTGTGTTATTACAGAGCAAAAATAAATTAAATAAAATTAGAAGCGATATGTTTATGTGCTACCTACTTCCCATTCAGATGCGATAGGGTGGGAAAAAACTAAGTACTGATGTTGGGAAATATTGTGTGGTGATAAAGAAAGTGGGCTTTCTAATCAGTCAGCACTGGATTTTCATCTTAAAAATCCTATATCTCTCATTTGCTTCCTACATTCCATGGACATATCACAGAATTCTCTGTGCTTCATTTTTTCTCAGGAAGATATCACCTGGCTCATAGACCGGTGATAATTACTTGGTGTAGTATAAGCAAAGCAACCAGTACTGACTGGCATGTACTGAACCCCAAAAGACAACTTATTGTATGTCCTCAAGTGGCTAGAAGAGGGCAGATCAAATGTTCTCATCTCAAAGAAATAGTAAAGGTTCACTATGATGAATGTGTTAATTACCCCGATTTGATTATCACACCTTGTATACATGTATTGAAATGTAACTCTGTACCCCACAAATATTTACAGTCTATATGTTTCAATTAAAAGTAAATAAATTCCTTATAAAAGTTTTAATTTATACATATACATGAATATATGTGCATATATATGTATTCTTATGTATATATAAACTTATCATTTTATTCAACACTTATTTATAAAGTGTCTGTGATGAGGCAGATGTTATTTTGAGCATAGAGAAAGTAATGGTGAACAAGAGAGACAATGTCCTTTATCTCTTGTAGGTGACACTTTTATAAGGAAGGACGCAAATTAACATGTAAGCAATTAATCAAAATATTTTCTTGGGCCGGCCCGGTGGCGCACTGCTACAGTGCGCCGCTTGAGAGCGCGGCAGCGCTCCTGCCGAGGGTTTGGATCCCACATACAGACTGGCCGCTCACTGGCTGAGCGAGGTGTGGGTGCAACACCGAGGGCTGCAATCCCGTTGCTGGTCCCGGTCCGGTACGGGCGCGACACTGAGGGTTGAGATCCATTGCCGGTCACGAAAAAAAGACAAAAAGGAAAAAAAAATTTTTTCTTATGGTGTTAGAAGTTAAGTGGAACATAAAGCATATGAATGGGCTACAGAGTGGTTGTGACTAGTGGTGTTGGGAGGTGTGGAGCATTAGAGTAAGTAACCAAAAGAGATCTTTTTGAGGAAGTGATATTTTCATTATGATAGAAGAAAAAAGGTCATTGCATTTTCATGGACATTGATATTTTTTAACTCAGTGTATTTTTCTATATTATGTATTCTGTGCTATACTCACATATTTTTGTAGTATCCACTCTTCCTGTGTGCATACTTTTCATGGGAATATGAGGCCCCCTTCCTCTCAATGCCAAGCTCACCCCCTTCTCCAGCTCCACAGATGGACAATACCCAGGAAAAGTTAATTGAGAAATTCTATTTTCTTGGTTGGAGATCAGACAGTAATCTAGCAAGGTCCGTCAGGGTGAACCTCAAAACTATTGCTTTTATGTCAATATAGATATTCTATATCTCTTACTGGACATCAGTGAGAATACAGGTAACCTGACTTATTTACTGGCATATGTGAATGTCTATAAAGGAATAAGCTTTAAGATAGAGTTAAAATAAAATGGAAATAGTGAGAAATGGAAATAAGACGGGTCCTTAATCCCCTGTTAAGAAGCTCAATCCTGAAGCTCATTCTACTCTGAATTTTAATAAATATTTTTATGATTTAAGCCACTTTATTTGAGTTCCTTATTAACCGCAGCATATATTTTTGCCATTTTTCTATTTCTGGTTGTTATTTGTTCATTTTCTTTGGCTATTTTCCTTTTTACTTATTATGTATAGGTATTTTCATATTAGCGATACTAAACAGTCATCTATATGCCTTGGTTCAATTGTTTTCTTTAGTCAGCTATTTTTCTTTGACAGTTATTTGTGCTGTCTTTGATTATAAAATTATTTTTTATTGTAATATAGAGATATTTTTATCATTTCATATATGATTTTTAATATTTTTAATTGCTTGGATAAGTTTTTTTAATCTCAATTTTACAGGATTTTCTTTTGTATTTTCTTCCTTTGCTTAGTAGTTTTGACTTTGTATTTATTTTTATTAGTATTGTTTAATATTGTAAATGTAACGTATTTTTCCATATTGATTGGCAATTATGCCAACAGTACCTACTGTATAGTCCATCTTACCCACTGGTATTAACTGTTTAACATTTTACCATATCAAAAAGAGATATTTTTCTATCCCTGGGCCTCATTACAATCTTTTAATTACATTGTACATATAATATCTCACTTATTTTTTTCTCCAGTATTTCATTAATGTTTTACAGTTCCTGACATCCAACATTTATTCCCACTTGTCCTGATAATCATGGCCTGAATTTTTTGTAAGGAATCACTATTTGTAGAGTGAAGCTGACTCTACCCCCAGCTTCAGGAGTCGACTTGGGTCTTACATCTGGGCAATGGCAGAATTACATCAACCTAGCTAGAGCGAAGTTCTGTGGTATCCTTGTGATTTAAGAAAAACCAACTCTAGGGGCCGGCCCGGTGGCGCACTGCTACAGTGTGCCGCTTGGGAGCGTGGTGGCGCTCCCGCCGAGGGTTCGGATCCCACATACAGACCGGTTCCCGCTCACTGGCTGAGCGAGGTGCGGGCACAACACCGAGGGTTGCGATCCCGTTGCCGGTCCCGGTCCGGTACGGGCGCGACACTGAGGGTTGCGGTCCATTGCCGGACACGAAAAAAGACAAAAAGGAAAAAAAAAAGAAAAACCAACTCTATGCACAACTGATACATTTTAAATCAAAACTAATGCTTCTTCCAATGAATAGGAAAGAGTATCTCCCTTTTTCCTTTTTCCTATTGGGCGTGGCATTGTGAGGAGGTAAATTTGCTGCTACTGGCAGCCATCATTCTGCTATATAAATCCTATGACAGACAAATGCTTACAGAGGAGAACTGAGAGGTGCCAAATGAAAGATCAGACCGTGGTGATGTCCTTTGAGTCTCTGAGTCAAAGTGTATCTAGAGTGGTGTCAACCCCTGAGGTTTTAAATATATAAAGACAGAAAATAGTACTCTTCAGATAGTGCGATAACTGGGCAAAAACCTCTCTCCTTTAATTCAGAATAAAGGCCAAAGTTCATATTAAGTCCTACCAGTCACTACCTAATTCTTTGCTTTCTCTTGGATTTTATAAAGCACCCTATAGTTATAATTCATGATATGTATTTATTTAAAATGGCCAGAGAATGCCTTCTTTGGGGAGAATTACTGCATACAGAAACCTTTTAATGTTAATATTTCTATAAGCAACTTAAGAGTAGTGCATTTTTAGTTGTAAAAAGTTCATACAAGGGCCGGCCTGTGGCTCACTTGGGAGAGTGCGGTGCTGATAACACCAAGGCCCTGGGTTCAGATCCCATATAGGGATGGCCGGTTCGCTCATTGGGTGAGCCTGGTGCTGACAACACCAAGTCAAGGGTTAAGATCCCCTTACCGGTCATCTTTAAATTAAAAAAAAAAAAAAAAAAAGTTCACACAAACATTCTGGGCTATTAGAACAAGATGTTATGATTCTAACTTTTAGAGAAGACTACCCGCATGCATTTCACATCATGTCATGTCATTCTTCATCTGGTTATTCTAGGTTCTAACTGTATGTGATAAGAATGTAAACAGTAAGGAAATGCCCATGAGACTTTGCTTCCTATTGCTACATTTACAATAAAAATAATTACTCTTTAGACACATAATTAAATGCTCCACAACTTACTAGCTGTGTGATATTGAGCAACTTATCATTGTGGTTTCTCAGTTTTCTCATCTATAAAAATTACAAAAATATATATATAAAAGGTACTGTTTTAAAAATAGTCCCTGTCTTATAGGTTCTTATGAAAACTAAAGGTGTCAGTATTTGTAAATCACTTCGAGTTGTAGGTGACACTGGTAGGTAATATACAAAGATTTATTAAACAATTAAAGCAAAAAAACAAAGTAAAAAATAAAATAATAAGAGAAGCTAACTTGATTAGGGTAAGTCTTTATTTGAGCATTACAGCAGTCACTTTTAAATGTGCAGAAAGAGAAACAGATAATAGTTCCCACATAGTTCTGACTTATAAACCTGCTAAGCCCAAAAGTAATATTTACGTGAAAGACAAGGGTGAGAAAGAAGAGATATTCAGAAAGTTGGTAAGTTTCATTAACTTGTCAAGTTTTAGAGAGTCGAATTTATAATATTACCCTATCTGATCTAATACCAGAATAATCTAAGATCCTATAGTAGTGGAGTCATCTTTTCACAAAACTGTCTTCCAAAGAGCCTTTGTGAGTTATTCAAAATGAGGTTCCAACCATAGGGTACACTTTTCCACTGTAAGTGATAGTATGCAATTGGGATAAAGTAGTAGCTACTTTTCCCTAGGAAAGGAGTGTTTAATTTCTCCTGATGCCTTGTTGGGGACGACATGGCAGCATAGGGCTATGAAGTCAGGTGGAATGGATAATTCTCCTGCAAGTATCAGCTGTGCATCTATGGGAAATAAATCAATATATCCAGGTAAAACTCAGTGTGGGTCATCCAGTGGCTTTGATGTATATTTGGGAATCAGGACTGCTTGCAGCTTTGGAAATATCTCTTGGTTGGCCATCTGAGGGGATTTTTTGGACAGAATGAATGTAGTGAGGGACAAGAATACAATCTAAGCCAGTGTAGTGCAGCACAAGTACATACAATCAGGTAATTTTAGAATGCTATGGACTGGATCAAATGGCAATATTCCATATATACTATACACAAAAAGATCAAAAAGTTATTTTAAAGTGTGCAGTCTGCCACTCACTTTCATTGTAAATACATTTATAGAGCCAAAGGATAGGTTTGTTTTGAAAATACAGTTACAATTTGCCAACAGCACACATCCTAAATCTTCAAATCTTCAAGAGATAGGTCCCCATCTAGACCAATTCCTTTCCTTTAGATGATCTCAACTGGTATTAATAAGATATAGAGGCATTTTGATTCTCTGTCTACTTAATGACTGCAAG